TTGACCTGCCCAGATGTTGCACCAGTTTCACTATAATTTGGTAAACAATTGTAACTCGTGATTTGCTCGCTGTCTGCCTCAAATCATTTTGTTTTTTAGCTATTAGAGATTTGGGTAGTCATTGTTATGAATGCTGAACAGATTTCTCCACAGATTGGATGGATGCTTGCTGATTCAGGACTAGAGCTCTTAACAACCAGGCACCAAGCTACCTAACTGACCTTTCATCCCCACACATCACCTCTCGGAACCTTAGATCCACATCTGAAAACCTCCTGGCTGTTCCTCGAACCAGACTGAAAACCAAAGGGGACAGGGCCTTTCAGACTATTGCACCCAGACTTTGGAACAGTCTACCTTCAAATCTCCGTCTCTCTAACACTGTAGAGGTCTTTAAAAATCATCTTAAAACTCACCTTTTCATCCAGGCGTTCCCTCCCTAAATGTTCTAAAAGATGGCTTTGTTCGGGTTCACACCTTCACTTTGTTTATACTCATGATTTTATTTTCTACGTTTATCACTGCTATTGTTTTTCTGATGTTTTTATTGGTTAGAGGTATTTGCCCTGATCTTTATCATGTTGTACAGCGCTTTGTGATTTATATCTGTGAAAGGCGCTCTATAAATAAACTTTTACTTACTTACCAGTGTCCTATAGTGCAGTGGTTCCCAAACGTTTTCCTTGAGGACCTCCTTGCCCGTGTCTAAGACAAGCCAGGACCGCTAACCCCAACTCTTTCACACACACACACACACACACACACACACACACACACACACACACACACACACACACACACACACACACACACACACACACACACACACACACACACACACACACATTAAATGTGATCATTAACAAACTTTATGCAGACATGTAGAGTTATACCTTTTCTGAGTTTTGATTATACTGTGTGTGGAATTAGGATTTTATAAATGTAAATTTTAAACATAAAAGTTCACTAACCTCACAACCTAAGCACAGATAAACTTGTTGGGAGCCCCTTGGGTGTCCCTGACCCAGGTTTGGGACCAACTGCTTTAGTGCATTATCCCCTCCAGTCACCTTCTACAGTGATATACCACTTACAATGATCTTGCAACAGATATACGCTATTTTAATAATAATAATAATAATAATACATTTTATTTCAAGCGCCTTTCAAGACTCTCAAGGTCACTTTACAAGTGCAGGTACAGACCAGAAGAAAACAAAACAAAACACAATACAAATAAATACATAAAATAATCAAGATAAAACACACATTTTTATTCAGACTTTCTGTAGGTGCAAATAGTTGACTCACACAGAATCTTCTTTTGAGTTTTAAAGTTGTGACCTTAAAACTTGACTAGTTCAGGCATTTGCTGCGCCTCAGATACAGCAACACTCAGAGGTGACAGTCTGACTCTAGGGATGAATTAATGGTCCACAACCTTGTGGATGCTGAAGGAAATGACAAGCCTGCCCCGGGTTGTCCCATTGACCTTAAGCACCTTGTGCTAAATTCTGGGATATGTCTGAGTGAGCATCATGCACCAAACTCTTATAATCAATGATGGTCAATGGCAGGAAAATTGAGTCTAACTGACCCACATTTCATAATGAAATTTGAAACATACTCCTTAAAATGTTCAGAATGACACTTTCTGAGTGACAAGGGGACCTCTTCACATCAGGTAACGGCATGACTAAAAACAGGGCTGGTGTAGCTTACAGACACAGTCTGCATACCATGGACGTAATTTTTTGGGGGGACGGGGGGACATCCCCCCCCCCCCCCCCCCCCACACACACACACACACACTTTTTCCAAAGTCAAGTTTTGACCCCTGCACTTTTTACAATCCCCCAAAAAATTACTTTATATTAAATTGACACTGGTTGCTCTAGGACCAAGCGGAAAGCAACCGTTTGTGTTGAAGCCTGTTTCCCATTAGAGCATACTGTAAAGTTCCCCCCCGTGTCCCCTGCACCTCTAAAGTGAAAATTACATCCATGCTGCATACTATGGTAAATGTAATAACCAGGTTCAAACTAAGCCTTGGTCATTATGAATGGATGTCATAACTTAGCGGTATTTTAATAATCAAGGGTGCCAATGAAGCGCTAGTAAAACTATTCTGTTTGTGACTTTCTAATGATTTTGTCTGTCTTCGCACTCCCAAGCTTTAGAAGAAAAAACCAAAACAGGGAAATGATATCCTAAAATTAGCATTTACATTTGAATTTGGGAATGGTGTGCTTGGGCTTTTGTTAGCAAAATAAGTTATGTCAAGGAACTTCTAGTTTTCACCCAGCAGCTGTTTGTTTGAGGGTTACGTTGTGATCTGCATACATGTCTGCCTCATAAAATTTGCTTTCGGAGACTAAGAAACAGGTGTGGAGTTACCATAGTAACAACAACGAGCCACTGGCAGCAGCTTTAACATTAATTTAGATCTTTTATGTAGTTTTCGTATAAGAGCCTTGGTATTTTATCTGAGCTTAGATTACTACAAAATATTTTTTATTTCTGGCAGAGGCTGCATGGGCATGCTAAGACTTAGCTCAGTATGTTTTGGTTGAAAGACTAAAAGCTCATCGCATCAGATGTTTCTATCAGATGACATGTTAATCATACTAACAATGACTCTGTGAAGTACAGACACGTTTTCATTCTTGGAGACAGGGAACAAATTGTGAGATGATAAACACTTTCAACACAGAGCATTAACCAGAGGAATAATGAGGTATGAATAAACCCGGGACTTTGAATGAACCAAAAGACTGCTCCAAGTCTGAAGTGATGGATTACCACACACTGCGCAGGCTGTTTGTTGAACTGAATGAAAATGGATGGCTCTTAAACTGCCTTCAGATTGGGAAATATGTAAAGCAGAAGTGAAATTTACATGACTAAAACAACACGGCCCTGAGAGTTCAGCTATAGCTTCGTCCATTTGCCCAGCAAGAATCCTGAATTATAATCAGCTACACGGCCACAGGTCACGGATATATTCACCATCAAGTACTTATTAATTCACAATGTAATAAAACACAGAAAATCCAAATGACTTTAATGAAAACATTTTCTTCTTTGTTTTACTTCGTAAAAAACATGTAAGGACCAGGATTTTGAACAATTAACAGTTTACTTGTAAAAGAGCCTTGCGGTTGACCTCAGTAGAATTCAACAAAAATTTGTTCTTGTAGATTTTATTGGCAAATTCTTGTTTCCTTAGTTAGAAATTTTGATTTCTATTGTTTTTAAACAACTTTTATCTCAATTTTTCATGAAAGCACATTTTTTAAACTTTTACTTAAACGTTTGTAACACACTGTTATTCATGCAGAGATATTATAAATTTGAAACCTGAATTTTAGCTGCTGAATATAAAGTACTGCAGATAGCTAATATGGCTGCTAATTTCTGCTCCTAAACATCACAAAAGTATTTTAAAATATAGCTGTAAAATGGGAAGTGTGTGGCAATGAAAATATAGTGTATGCATCTGCTCAGAACTGAATGTTATTTCTAAACAGTCAGGTTGTTCAAAAATCTATGTAGAGCAGATATCTGCCTCTTTTATGGCTGGGGTGACGGTGGCACAGGAGTTAAGTGCTCGTCCCGTAATCGGAAGGTTGCAGGTTCGAGCCCTGCTCAGTCTGTCGCTGTCGTTGTGTCCTTGGGCAAGACACTTAACCCACCTTGCCTGCTGGTGGTGGTCGGAGGGACCGGTGGCGCCAGTGCTCGGCAGCCTCACCTCTGTCAGTGCGCCCCAGGGCAGCTGTGGCTACATTGTAGCTCATCCCCACCAGTGTGTGAATGTGTGTGTGAATGGGTGAATAACTGATTGTGTTGTAAAGCGTCTCGGGGGGTTCCAGGACTCTAGAAGGCGCTACATCAAATACAGGCCATGTACCATTTCTTCTAGTGATGGGAATTTTGGCTCTTTTTAGAGAGCCGGTTCTTTTGGCTCAGCTCACCAAAAAGATCACTAAGAAGGCTCCCAAGTGGCTCCTCAGATTTTCTGTTGCGTAAAGTATTTTTATCACCAAAAATAATGCAAAACTATATGTAAAATGATTTACTAATGTAAAAAAATGCTATATATCAAATACTTATCATTTATGTGAATTTAATAACTGAACACTTTAAGAAATCTCAACTTTCCGACTGCTGTCGCCCATTTTCTCACCGTCTTCGTCGCACTCTCCTCTCTCTCTCGCTCGCCCTTTTCCTCCTCCTCATTCCCTCTCGTCTCCCTCCGCCCGCATGTGCTCTGCTGTGTGTCTGTCTGAGTCTGGTCCTCCCTCTTTCCCGCCCCTACTGCTCTGTGTGTGGACAGTCTGGACACAGTTACACATGTTGACCAATCACCTGTGGCTTTCAGTAAAGCAAGAGCGGGAGGGGAGGGAGGGTGGCGGCGCCCAATGACAAGCCGATTCCCATTGTTCACTTCATAGAGCCGGCTCTTAGAGCCAGTTCGTTTGCGACCGACACATCACTAGTTTAGTCATCGTCTGTCTTATTTGTTAGTATGCACAAGTAGTACTAATGTTGATAGTTTTGTTTTGTTACAAACTAAAAATGTGACAAAGTGACAGATGTACATCATGGTGTGTTTGCTCAAAACTTTTTGTCCTGAAAGGAAAAAAAACATCAAATCCATTACACTTCACATACTTTGATCATAACTTTCCACTTTATTATCCCAGCAGAAACGTAAAATATTTTATTTTGAAAATTGTGTTTATTCATTCATTAATTCATTCATTCTTTCTTTCATTCCAGGCGTTTGTCTTTTACCATGTAGGTGACAAACCACCGCCACAATATGTACATATTTTAAATAATGAACATTAGTATTGAATGCCTGAAAGGGAGTGGGAAGAAGAAGAGTTTAAATAAATAAAATATAATTTTACATGTTGGGCCAGAAGAGCTACAGATTTATTAATTTAGTTGTTTGTCGACCTATTGATGAATGTGTTTGTTTTTGCTTGTTTCAGGCTAAACAGGAGAAGGCAGACATTTGTGCACTCCAAAGCTAGAAGTGGAGTTTTGAAGTCCCCCAAGAGAAAAACAAAAAATGGCACTGTAGTCGATCTTTTTTTATGGTCAAAACAACACACACACAACAAAAAGGTGAGCAAAACACAAACGCACACGATATAAAACACACACAAGTTAAAAAATGAATCAAATGAGTGTTTATGATGTTTTTTCTACAAATTAAAAAACAATAATGCATATTTCTCTGTTTCCCTTATTAGTGTCAGTCAATAGTGACTGTATGATATGTGTGGATTGATGTCTGATGTGTTGTGCTGAAAGTGAGCAAGAACTGACATTTCAAGTCCTCTTCCTGCTGGAAGCTTTGTAGTTGTAGCAGCAATCAGGTCCCACATTCCTCTCATATTTTATCTGCTGTTGGATACATCTCACACTTTGATCTTGCTTGATTGTTTTGGGTTATTTTTTTTCCATGAGGCACAGAACCTGAGCCAATTTGAAGAGGCCAGCTACCACACTCAAATATAAAGCACTGTGTTTCTGCCCTTGTTAGGAAATTGGACCGACTTTCAGTCATTTCTGTAGCCTGATCCAAATCCTAACCGTGACTATTACATTATGCATAACCTGAAACGAATTCAACCAGTATCTTAATGGGTTGTGACTGCTCATGGGTAGTTGGAGACACAACGTTTCAAATGGAATCACTCTGAATGCTGTGATACATTTTTAACATGTCTTGAAACAGCAACAAAATGGTAACACGTTGCTTGGGATTGTCCTGTCTGGTTTCTTGTTGCATCTTGGTAAAGCATTCATTGTTAAATGGACTCACAGGTCCATGTTTTTTAATTATTTTTTCAGATTATAATCGTCACTCCCCTGAGTTTTTCATGCAGGTTGAACATGAAAATAGTCTCCTACACCTGTCTACTGAATTAGCTTCTGATAGAAAATAGCAGAGAAACAGCAGAGAACATCTCAGCTACTAGAAGCTAACTGTTACCATTAGCGACTCCACCACATGGCAACACTTATTCAGGCTTGTGTTGTTTGAGATAAAACACCAACGTTGCTGAGCAAACAGAGTCAGTGTCAGAGTTGCATTGCTGTTAGCCAAGCAGAGATGAGATGTTCAAATATTAGGAAATAAGACTCCAAATCCTGCCAGCTGGAGCTCTCATGTGATCTGGAAATGTTCTAGATCGTGAAACAGGCACACCAGAGCTTTTTGAACTATAACAGCCCGTATAGAAGGGCCAGGCTGTGAAATAAAAATGGTTCCATTTTCCACTGATTCCAAACCACCACACCTAAATTCTGTGTACAATAATTTATTTTCAAAAACGTGATGATTTACTAAGGGCTAGGTTGGATTAATAACTCAGGGTGAACCAATGTCTAAAACAATAAACAAAACACCTCTAACTTCAAAGAGCCAACCGACCTAAATGACAAACATATTGGCCACCAGACTAACTAAATCAGGAGAAAACAAAATGCAAAAATAAAAGGCGTTTCCCACTACGGAGACCTTGAATGATACCACTAATAGTTAAAATCTCTAAGCACAAACAAATCACACAAACTCTGAGCCCAAAGTGGTGGCTGATTGGAGCGAGCGGAAAATGAGGAACACAATTGCGTCTCATCAGGTTCCATTTAACAGCTCTGCTCCAGCTGATCATACAATCCAAACGTCTCCTGGCCCTCATCCACCAATCCTAGGAGGGCACCTGCACACTCAAAGTAACATTTACCATAAAGAACAATTCAAAATAGAAAAAACAATGCTCCTTACGACTGTGGTCGTAACACCCCTACACCCAAGAATGAAACACACTCTATACACGGTTTAATAAAAATAAAAAAATAAAAACACGATCCTACACAGCTCTTGAGAATGTGTCAGCTAAAATGTTGTCCGTACTCCTCCTGTACATGCTCTGCAGGTCGAAATCCTGTAGCAACAAGGACCATCACATCAGACGTTAGTTAGAGTTTTGCCTCCATTTCAGAGTATGACTTATAAGGCATTAATTTCTTCTAGAGCAGGGGTGGGCAATCACAGTCCTCGAGGGCCACTGTCCAGCAGGTTTTACTTGTTTCTCTGCTTAAACACACCTGGTTTGAATCTACTAGTGATTAACAGGCTGCTGCAGAGCCTGATGAGCTGCTGAACAGGTGATTCATCCAGGAATCAGATGTGTTGGGGCAGGTAAACAACTAAAACCTGCTGGATAGCGGCCCTCGAGGACCAGGATTGTCCACCCCTGTACTAGAGACTACTAGAGACCACTGCTAATGTGTTGACTAATTGAGTGAACCACACCTTTAAAGAGCTTCCAAGATGCTAAATAGGGGATCTCTTCACCACACTCCTGGCTTTCTTGGCTATTTCTGTTTCGCAGCGATTTCATTTACATGTTTGTTAAAATTTTAGTTTCAAACTTCTATATTTTTGATTATATTAAACATTTTCAAGACTCATTTTTATTTTTGTTTTATACATCAATTTGATTTTAAACATTTAGGTTATATATTTGGATTTAATTCCAAATATTTTCACTTATTTTTACAGTTTTATTTCTTTTTTGTTTGATGGTTTTGTTTTAAATACGTTTAACTATAAATTAAGCTGTTGTTTAAAGTATTTTGTTCCAACTTTATATATTTAGATTTTTTAATGTATTTTGACTAATGAATCTGCATGTAATAACATGCAGATGTTAATTTTGTAATAGTAGTATGCATTCCATGAGACGTTTTCACCTCAGGAGTAGTTTGGACAGCCCATTTGTTTCATTGGTCGACAACTCTTTCCAGAGTTTTCTCACATTTCTTTCACTTTCTGATCCACAGAAGCCAAATGAGGAAGAATTCTAGACAATTCACAAAAATGTGATGCCTTTCAAAACACATCTGTCTCATGAATTTACTCAAATTGTTCAAAATTCCAAAAGCAAGTAAATTAGCAAACTTCACAAAGATTTTGGAGACTTTTAATTACTTTCTTGTGGATTCTGTTCATAACTTGTCACACATAGACACATGTTGAAACCTCAAACCCAAAAATGACATTTCAGGACATTAGAACTGGCCTTTGGTCCCCGTAAAAACCACGTCCTGGCACGACGGGCATTTACACCACTAGATGTCCTGAAAAGTAAGAAAACCCAGAACACACACACACACACACACACACACACACACACACACACACACACACACACACACACACACACACACACACACACACACGTGATCCCTACATTGTCTTCCAGGTATGCTAAGGTGCTGTGGGCATGTTTTTTTTTAGTATTTTTATTTCAGACAATGACTGTCAGCATTCAGATTCTTGTGTTCCCATCTGTCTCTTCACAGAAAAACTCCCACATACACACACAGAAAAAGTCAGACAGCAAGTAAAACAGACACACAACATTTGTTAATTATCTCCCTCCAGCTGAAGCCTGGCTCCCCCTCTCCTCCTTTCATCTTCACCTTTATGTCCTCCTCTCTCCCTCTGCATCTGATGGCATCTATTTAAGGAGACTTACACACACATAAACACACTCTTGAGCACACACATACTCCATCACTGTCTCTCTTTCTTAGACACTTTTATGTTTTTCCACTCTTCAGTGGTCATCCACTCTGGGAAAGTTGCAGCTTCCAGCCAACTTTGATGACTTTACAGTAATTAGCTCTGTGGTTTGTTTGCTCTGCTGCTCCAGTGTGTGCTGGTTAGCAAAGAAGAGTCTGCTGCAGTTTGATAAGTGAGATGTCAGGGTGCGTTTTTTCAGAGGCTTATTCAGTAACAGATGTCCAGTGAACATATATGAGGCACACATGTTTTTATGGCTCATGTTCGCAGCAGTCACAGCAAATCTGAAGTTAATTATGTCTAATGATCTAAATTAATGTTTTTTTGGATTACTTTAAGTGACTCAGATGAACTTTTCCTTATTTTATTTTTATTTTTTTGTTGGTAAAATCAACTTTGACAAGTTGTCAAAGTTTTGAGTGTGTGCAGTTAAGACAACAATATTTATTTATTGTTTTTACAAAAAAAGTGAATAAAAAGTGAAACAGACATACAAAAGGATGAAAAGTTATAATATTGCATGTTGGTAGGTTCAACTTCTTCCTACATATTTTCTGCTTCTTGATTGAATCACAAAAGTCTTTGTGGATTTATTTATCGTTTCAAGTATTTTTTCTTGCTTCTCTCAGTCCAGATCTGATTAAATGTACATCTACTGTAAAAATAAATATCAGTGCCTCTACTGTTGCTTAACTGTTACTATTCTCAAAACAACTGTTACCAACAATAGTTATTTAGTTGTAAAAATTATTAGAAATAGTGAGATTGATCTGAATTTCAAAGATTTTCTAATTTATTAATTCTACAAATTATTTTTGCCTCATGAGTTTGCATTACTTAAACCATTAAGCAGAATATTTTGTTTGCTTCCTTAATACTTTAAAAACAAATAATCCATTAAACTAAGATGTCCCTGTGTGGAAAACTGATGGTTTTATGGCTGTGTTGGTCAAATCTTATTCTCAACAAATCTTGCTCAGTCCTTTTCCCCCAATGTGTGTTTTGTGAATGTTTACTATAACAACTGTAACATCAAATCTTAACACAATTTCTGCAAATATGAATGATTTGGCCAATAATTTAATTTGGCTGCTGTCTTAAATAATGTTCACCCCGAATAAGCAATCGGTTCTAGATGTACATCAAATTATTACTTCCTGAGAACTTCGTTTAAATCCATTCAGAGATGCATGAAATATTTAGCTGACATTTTACAACAATGCGTCCAACACAGATGCAGCCCAGTATCAAGCTGTGACTTGGACTGATGCAAATATTGTGGGGATTAATGGCTAAAAATAGATGGCAGGTCCTAACATTGTAGAATGGAGAGTACATCTGAGGTTGATAAAAAGAGCCCTGCAAGAGCAATGGTCTTGCTAGATCCAATGGACCCAATCTCATGGGTTTCCAATGGTGGTAATTCAGCTGTAGGTGGGGGCAGGGGGGTAAATGCTGATAGACAGACACACTGCTTTAACAATGATTTTCTCAATCTCCGTGCTCTTCCTTGTAAAGCTGCTTA